CTGCCACTGCTGCTGCTGCTACTACTGCAGCTACTACTACTACCACCTCCTACTGCTACTACTACTACTGCTGCTGCTGCTACTACTACTACTACTACTACTCCTGCCAGTACAATTATAACTGCTGTTGTTACCCTTATCGTCTGAGACATTTGGCTGCAACTGAACTCACCCAATCGCTCTGCACCACGTGGGCGTCTCACAAAGTAGCCCTTATACAGTTCTCTAAGAGACCCCTGCAATCCTCTTTTCCCTAATCCCAAACCCTAAACCCTTCCCTAGGACGCGCCCGTTTTGGAGAAACCGCCCGCGTGAGCAGGACTTCGACCTTCAGCGGCTTGCCGACCGGCTCGGCAAGGCAGGCTAGCTCCCATAGGGGGTGCTAAAAAGAAGAAAGGACCCCTAGCACTAGCTGTCCCCAAATCATAACACTTCTGCCAATGCACACATCCGAAACTTCGATCCTGAGCTTTCAAAAACCTCCAGAATTTCAGGATTTGACAACTGTTGGACCTGAAGTCGAACTTGAACAAACTTAGAACGCAAGGCTACGCATTCAACAAATGCTTCATGACTTTTCCGCTGACGTGTATGGCCCTTGCTGCTTAGCCTGACGGGCAGGCTAGTCGTCGTGCACATGTCCTGCATACAAAGTCTTTGCAAGATTCTGCCCTCAACCTGTCAGAAAGAATCACCTCAATAACTACACACTGTACCTATCGGCAAACATGGTGGACGCTCTATTAAAAACCTTCGCATGATCGGCAAACAGATGTAACCTTTAGGAGCTGGACCGAACTGTGGGCCAGCTCGAAGCAGTCGAGTCCCGCCCTTCGCGCTTGGAAGCTGTTTTCTAGGCATGGATCGCACTCGTAAATCTCATAATTTGATGCGGACATGTTTAGCTTTTACTTGATGAGTAGCGTGAATACTGCCTAACGGAACAGCACCCGTCAGGGGCTGGGGCCACCCCCAAGGTAGTTGTCGAAATTCATATCCGCACTTGTAATCATGCTTTGGGGCGCATGCATGCGTTTGACATGTGAGGCAGCAGCTTGGCATGATCCAGCCACTTGTCATATGCTCGTCACCAGTGCGTGAGAAGCCACGCACATCTGAGTATTGATGCTATTGCACGGCGAAATTGATTGGCTCAAGACGGCCGTGAAAAGGCTGCTGAAAGCCCTTTGGCGTGGGGGAGTAGCGTGAACAGATATTCAAGTCTGCTCGCAACGCATAGGGATTATACCATCATTTGGACGATGTACCCTTTGGTGTAAAAGGGCTCCAGACATTTCAGCCTTGTTCCACCTGCAACAGCTTCTCATCACACCCTTGGGTGGTATCAAGACAGATGGCACCTACGGTGCCAATTTTCACCACCACAGTGATATGCCATTGCTTTCTAGAGCACCCTGCAGTTCACAGCACAAAAACATCAAACACTAAACGGAAGCAATGCCCCTCCTGCAAAGAGATTTACAGCCGTAGAGGTGAGAGCATATACCCCGCACGTCCATTAAATACCCCAATCCTCAACCTCTCAGAAAGGGATCCCAATTTGTGAGATCCCCAGCCTCATAGAAGCAAGCTGGCCAGGAGGGTGGTGCGCACCTCCAACAACGAGAAGAGAGAGCTACAGGCCTGCCAGCTCCCGTTGCGTAATGCTTTCGCACACAGCCTAATGGTATCTAATAGTGTGGGACATGGGGATATTGTGGACCCCAAGATAGGGTAGGATCATATTATGCGTTTGCTTGTGGCATTTTTTCTTATGTCTCAGCCAGCAAAAGATATTCGGGCGCATGTAGAGCAACTGCTTTGCTGTGAAAGGCCCAGCTGTCCGAAACAATCGGAAGCTATACCGAGGCATGCATTGCATGATTTGGTTTCCTACAATGTGAAATGGAGTCTTTCTGTTTTGACGGCTGTTCCTTTGGTCTTCACTGAGTGGCTGATAGGGTTGGCACGGCGGATGGTGTTGTGAGCTGGCAGCACTCCTTGTGAAGACATTTTATTGTGGTTGTCCTGATGAGGCGATTGAGCAGCTTCATCAGCAGCTAGCGCCAGCTGCCAAGGCACAGTAAACGCTCGAATCGCTGCCCCTGTAAGCTGGGCCTTGCCTCTATGTGGTTGATTGGCTTGTATCATCAGGGTGGAGTGGCCGCAGCACTGCAGCTTCAGATCCACGATGGTCGCGTGCGGGGTCTCAGTGACGTTGGATGGCAAGTGGCCAGGGATTTGGAATGGCTTCTTCAGAAGCGACAACGACCGCAAAAAGTGCTGGGATGTGTCAGCACTGCTGGAGGTTTTGTTCTGAACCCTTTGCTTCTCAGCATGGACTTGATGCTATTTAAGGCTCTGCACAGCAAGCTTCAGCTTGAACTGCAAGAGCTGAGGCTCGGGTTGTTGCAAGTTGTCCCCTGGCGGACCTTCGGGTTGTTGCAAGTGCAAAGCATGGGTAAGTTCATCGTGGCCGAGTTGCTTTCCAGAATTCTCCAAAATGACGACAGCTTTTTTCTCAAGATCTTAAGCTCTGAATCATCAACATTGCCTCTCAGCTTGGTAGGTGCGAACAAAGTTCTTAATGTTTGCACAAAGGAAAACACATTTTTTTTTGGATGGGCATGCAAATTCTCTGCTGGGATTGCAAGCCATCCTTGCAAGCCTTCCAGACCATGTGGGTTCTCAACAGCATGTCTGTTAGTTATGAACTGTAGTATGCCACCGGATACCAAACTGGGATCCTACTTTTGGACAACTGCCCAAGTGTTTGTCGGGCTTTTGGATGCCAACTGCTTCGTAGGCAGCGACTCGACGAGGAGCAGCGTGGAACAGGCGGGTGGGCATTGGTCCTCTGAACCTGTGTAGTCTAAACTCTTTCAGGGGGTATAGGGGATGAAAAAGGGAGCGTTATTTTTGGTTATGAAGAGGGATGAAACCTCTGCTCTCTTACCCTCTCCCCCTCTCTTTCACTTCCTGCCGCTCTTTCTCCTTATCTCCCTCTCTCTCTTTCTCGCTCTGTCTTCGTCTCTCTGCGTCTTTCGTTCTTTGCGTCTCTTTCTCTCTTTGCCTTTTTTCTTCCTCTCTCTCTCGCTCGCTTTCTCTGTTTTGCTTTCTCTCCGTCTCTTTCCTATGTCTCTTTCTCTCTCTCGCGCTCTTTTTCCTTCATCTTTTCTTCCGGTATGCTGCCTCGATGGTCCAAACCTGCATGTCGTGACTTATGACTTATGCTTTAGGAGGACCCCCGACCCTGTAATAGTGGCATAATAGGAATATTATAGGACCCTAATATAATCCTTATTGTCCCTTGTAGTCACTATTACTGGATGGCGGGTCCACCTAACTTATGCCTTATAAGATGTTCTGAGGTCCTGACGGCACAGATGGGCCGGCGGCACAGATGAGGGCCATGGCCTGAAAACACGGATCTCTGCACGGACAACTAGCGTAACTAGCATTGATGTTATTAGTAGAGAAATATCGGTAGCATTAATTAAGAATATTTTGCGCAATGATATAAGTAATAATATGGGTATTATTGCTGATATTGGTAATATGAGAAATAATACTAGTAATGCTGCTTGTCAAGTTCGTTTACAACCTAAGGTTTATCGCATGGCTGCCATGGCATCAGAATTACGTGTTTACGGGAAGCGAAATCTTCAAAGGTAACAGGGAGCAAGGGCGGGGAATTTCAGATCCGAGGGCTTCCGGCTCAAGCAGACTCAAGGAAAAAAGTGGAGGGTTCTTCAAGTCCATGGTTTCTGGGCTTGCGAATAAGCCGATCCTGGAGCTGGCTCGTCATCTTCCAGAGCCTTCATGTGAGAGACTTCCAGGAAGCTATGGGCATCCAGATCTCTGCCACCGGCCTTGCGTGCACATGCAGCGATCAGGTTCATGCCTAGCCGGTGAAAGCTGTGGGTTTTGCCACGAACGGCATCATCGGCAAGCGCACAAACTGCCGAAACATTTTCGCAGCATGTTTCGGGAGATGCCCCGAGCAAGGGCAATGGACCTCTTGCTTCCTCACATTCATCATCGGGTCGCCCAGCATCAGCTGCTGCCTGAAGCGCAGGAGCTACTGCAGTCCCTGGAGAGGGAGCGGTGCTCAGAACCACAGTCTACGCATCTCGACGCAAACAGCACCGATTTGCAGCAGCTCAACATGCAGCTTTCTCGGCTTTCTTTGTTGGCGCTGGCTCCTGGGTCGAGTCATAAAAACCTTTCTGTTGGGTTTTGTGAAGTGGTGATCAAACAAGTCCAAGCAGGCATATTGAGCGACATCAAACGACAGGACTGGCTCTGATTAATGTGGTTCTCCTAGCATTGATAGCTGTGATGAGAACAAGAATGCTAAAAGCTGAAGAATATGACAAGACAGTTGTCGGATGAGGACTAACAACGTCAGCAGCAAAGCTTTCCAGGTGAAATATATCCACCATCATGGTCAGCTTGTGCTTCGTTTTATACCGCCCCTCCTGTGATGTAGGATGATCCTGTCTATCGGGGCCCAAAAACAGACACCAAAAGCAGATATCAGTACTTGAAGTAGACCCTACACCCTAAACCCTTTGTCCTTCCGTTTGCCACGGCTAGCAGTCCTGCCAGGTGAGGTCATTGGTAGAAGTATTCTTGTAATTGTCACTGTCATGTTTATTCGGGTGCCTACGAAAGGGGCGTTTAGCGTAGCGAGCCTTTCGTTTCTGTTTGCTTTAGGGAGAACCCACCCCCTTTTTCCCCCCTCCCCCTCCCCCCTCCCTCTCCCCTCCATCCCCTGCCCTCCGGGAGGGACGGCCCCTCACTCGCGTCCTCCCCTGCTTCCGTCCACACATTGTTTGGTTGCTTCCACAAGTCACGTCTTCGCGCTACTGTCTTGCGAGCATATTGTTTCAGATGACATGTGGCAGCTAAAGCAGCAGCTTTGTGCATTAGATGTCACAACATGAGTCTGTAGATGTGGTAGCTCCGGGTGAGCCCTGTTGCTGAGTTTCTAGCAG